AAAAATGTTTTAATGATGACTCAATCATCATTTCAAATGTAAAATAATTTTGTATTTCTATAGACCGACGCCTGCAAAATATAATTCAGGATTATGAGGACTCCCAAACACCCTGGAAGATGATTTTACTTTCTTTAGCAGTAATAGGCTTGTCCTTGTTGACAGAAGCCTAAAGCTCGTTTCAGAGAACAACCTGGCTACTAAAAGTTGAGTGCTTCTGAGCTATTTGAAGCCGGCGCTTCAAAGGGGGGCCGGTCAGCCCAGAGGGGGGGGGGGAGCTGGAACTATTACAGCCGCAAAACGCACAGTTCAAAGCCGAGTCCGTCCAACAAAGGAAGGACTGGGGTTTCTGACTGCGCTGAATGCAGCTTTATCACTGCGACTCTGCTGCCATCTAGTGGCGATTCTGGCAGCTGAGATTCTTTTACACAATAGATGAGAAAATACATACAAAAAATGTTTTTTTGTGTCTAACCAACAGTTTAAAATTTTTAGACTTACTAGATTTAGATTTACTATCCAGTACGAAAAATAAAAGCAGTAAATCCTCACATTTGAGACTTTGGAAAACCCCCAAAATATTTGTACGCATCTCCTTATATACAAGTTGACTCATTGTGTCCGCTCTACTCAGTTATATGTAGTAGTGATTGTGCATACGGGAGGACGTACCTGAAGAAGTCGATGGAGATATCCAAGTCTTCTTCTAGGACGATGGCAAAGCCGGCCTCCTGATGAAAATAAAAAAATAACACACGCTGGGTCAGCGCTGTCGTGAGACGTCGAAGGTATTCAATGAACAAATGAAAAGTTACAATAAATAAAGTTTTTAAAAAAAGTTCAAAAAACACATTTCACTGCTCATTCATCAAGCACATGAAAGAGTAACATTTTGTCGTTTGTATTGACAAAAAGAAACCAAAGCACTCACTGGGTGAAGGTTGAAGGTTGCAGTCAGACTCGCCTTGTAGTGCTGTGACAAAGAGCAGAATAAAGTAGCTGAAAAGTATTAAAGCAAAACATCTGGATGTCTTCTGTTATTTCTGTGTGATCCACGCAGGTAAAAATGGCTTAAATGAATTAGTAATTAGTCTACTTCAGGGTATTTTACAGTGAAAATATGTAATATGTATTATGTGTTAACTCTTAAATGGAGAGCTGACTGTTGTTTACCTGGGACACTCTGGCATTCTTTATGCTGATGGGTGTGTGCTGAACTCCCTTCAGTCCAAACAGTTCTACGACATCCATAGGCTCCTGGGTCGAAAACACACGCAGAGATGTACGAGTGGTTGAGCGGCTTATCAAGCTACACAGGGCTCTACGATGAAACATATACCAGATTATTTAAAAAAAAAAAAAACATTAAGTTCCTGTTCTTGTGTATTTCAAGTGTATTGTGTATGTCCCTGTTTGGCTGTTGATGTTTGGACATTCAACATTTGAGACATAAGAACCCTGTTCGAGTGCTGATGTGAACCCGTAGCTTTACACCCATATTGCCACAGTGTTAGTACTTGTGGTGTGTACTGACCGGCACCATGGATGCATATGATGTGAGAAAAAAAAGAGAGAGAGCGAGAGCGAGCAAAAACCTGGTACCTCATAATATCCATCGATGAAGACGGTGATCATCAGCGGGTTGACGCCGTGAGCTGAAAGAAGAGACCTCAGCATCCTGAAAACAGACGACATTTTGTTTTAGGCAAAGGAGATGAATGAGAGCAATTGATTTTTGTCAGAAGAGTATGTGATTTGTTCCAATCAAACAAAGGTTGGACAGCTATATATGGCGTCAGATCGGTCTCAGTGTTAATGAAAGCACACAGAAGGATAGACAAATGTCATTTGTGCTTCATATATAAGTGACGCTCTCCACAAAAATACTTTTTAATGCACATTGAAATGGCTATTTTAAAATTCCACAAAAATAAGTAACCTTGATATGAGGTAGGAACGCTGTTTTTACAAAAATAATAATTTAAAATTCCATATTTTGTCTTCTATTATTCCAGTATCATTTCCTGATGTTTTAGGAATTTGCCGTGGTATTGTATCAAAGCCATCATTTTGGTATTGTGACAAACTGTTTCAGATCTTACCTGTAGAGATAGTTGGGTCTGTTCCCTGCTATGACGGCCACTGGGACATTCAAGACATTACTGTTGTGGAGCTGCAGAGAGAAAATAAAGTGAGTTCTTCAGCTGAGTTTTGTTTTGACAATAACACGTAGAGCAACATTTTCTGTGAATCTAGGTTCAGCACGTGACCTTGCAATGTTCAAACCTATAACCTGTGTGGGAAGATAAAGATGACACATAAGGAAGTGCTGAATATGGAATTTCATTTCACACCATCTGTAGCACTTCTACAATATTCTAATCTTACTTTTTTTTGTCTTTTCATATTGTCTTGGACAAAACAACAAGTCCAGTGTCATTCAATACGCTGCGGTTTTACAGTAATTGACTTTCAAGGAATATGCTTATTCACTCTCTGGCGGAGAGTTAGATGAGAAGATTGACGTGACTCATGTCTGTAAGGTAAATATGAAGATAATGCCAGCAGCCTGTTATCTAAGCTTAGCATAAAGAAAGGGAACAGGAAACCTGGCGCTCTCTCTCTCTCTAGACCTCTAAAGCCTATTAATGTAAATATCAACAATTTAGTTCACAATTGTTCAAGTCTGTCTGTCTATTGAGAGGTGAACACTGAAACCGGTTTTGCTTGCTGGTCATCCTTTCATTATCCCGATGCTAGTAATTGTGGGTAAAATCCAGTCCTCATTCTGTGCAAAAGTAAAAAGTGAATAGGTGTCGTTTCCAAAATATGCTTAACTTAACCATAAAGATTTGAATTAAGTTTATTGTGCAGCTTTAAAATGACCTTACCAAAAGTAACTAAATCAGAGGTCCTTACCAAACCGCTGATTGTTTTAAAAACCTATATAGTGTCAAAAATTCAGACTCATCTCCCTAGTTACTCTTTACGCTCTGTCCTTCTCCGTTGTGTGCAGCTCAATGAAACAAACATCTGTCAGAGAAGTCACGAGTCCTGCTGTGCGTCTTACAGGGTCAGGGCTGAACTCGATGGGCGCCGGGTCTTTGCAGCTGCAGATGCTGCCGTATCCCTCCACTTTGCCGCAAAAGACCTTCCTCCTCTTGTTGAGCTCCGTGTCTGCCCAGTGGCACTCTGCCTCTGCAGGACGGAGGACCACATTCAGTACGTTAGACATCTCCATCGAGTGCTAGCAGGCATGTGCAGCTTTAGATATTAAGACACCTTTTTACAGACTGGATCTTTTGGGTTTGGTTAGGCTTTGGCCTTCAAGGTGCGTCGCAATATGAGCAATTAGACAGATTTCCACACTTTTCCAAGCTCCCTAGATCTTACCTTCAGAGGCGGTGAGCTGCACCTCAGTCTTCAGCAGCACCGGGTCTCCCCAGGTGGACAGAGCTGGAGACTTTGAGTGCTTTTCTCCATACACCTGACCTGGAACCCCAAACACACAGGTAACCTCATAAAGCAAGCTTCATTAAACTTATTATGAATTCTAACTTAATCCTCGCCTGTCTCCCCCCTTCACCGAGCTCGTACTCTCTTGTTTTTCTTCTTGTTGACTACATGTGATAGTGGAAAACAGACACCAGTGTAAAGTGTTGTTGTAAACTTGAGGGGAGAGTGCGTCTGGTCACGTAGCCAAAACGGGCGTGTTGCTACTAGCACCAGCGAGACAATGAAAAACAATCCGGACATTTTAGTCTTGAGGCTGTATTGTGCCCAATGCGCTCAGAAGTTTCATTGATCTGCATTATCAGCTGATGATCTCTAAACACTGAAGACACTACTGTTTTCTGTCATGGTGTTATTTAATGTCCTTAATCAATAGATGGCCAAGTAAATTATCAGTAACTGAATAATCATTGAATGCAATAAGCAATTACGTTATACAATGCGACATGAAAGCTTCACTGAGGCCCAACTGTATGACAGACATCCGAGCGATATAGCGATTTCTCCTCAACTCCACTTTGTGTTTAGAAACTTAAATTTAAAAATTCTAACACAACAGCCTGGCGTTAAATCAGCTGTGGATTTAAAAAAGACTCTTCCGGGCAGACATGTTGTGGTTTAGTTTTTCAAATATCATTAGTCAACACATTGGAGACCACAAAAAAAAAGATCTACGTCCACTTGTAAAGTGAAAGTTTGCTTCTCTACCTCCTTTCTTCACCACCAGAGTCCACATGTCCCTCCAGCTGAGGTTGAGGGACACCTGGCTGCCGAGACTCTTCAACAGGTTCTTCGCAGCCTCCTTCAGGTGGAACGTGCCCTCATCCTGCAGGACAAAAAAATAAAAGGTCATCTTTTAACGCGTCACAAGTCCACATGACACATGAAAATCACATGAATAACTGATATCCAATTCTTCTTTGAGACAGCTGCAGTGACTGACCTTTATGGTGAAGATGAGGACTCGACCCCGGGTCACCATGTTGAGGAAGAGGATCATGGCCTCGTCCTCGTGGGGAGAGTAGGTGTCGAATATCCTCTTGGCCATCACATGACCCTGAGACAAACAGACAGTGACTCATTTGTCTGACCTTTGTGATTTGACTTCATTAAAAATATTCCTTTGAGGAAAATTCTCAGTAACTCAGCGCCTGTTTGTTTGTTGGGTATATATATTATTATCAACGCTACACAACCAAACATGGGATGAAATGGGTAAAGAAGTATCAACTGCAATGACAAAAAAGAAAAGCCATAAAACTGTAATGAGGGAAAAGTTGTTTGTTTAACATTAACAGACAGAAAAAGCTTACAGTCGCCTGGTTGAGAACTATCACATGGACGCCTCTGCCTTGCTCCCGCATATCATCCTCCAACACCTGCAGGAAGATGAGCAAAATAAAGATATGCTCAGTCGGACATTTTTGTTTCATATTCTTGTATTTCATTTGAACTCACTGTGGTGCCGTCCACTGCCACGTAGACCTTGGAGCGGCTGGAGTACACCTCGATGTCTAAGACCTTGCGTCCATTAGCCGGCCTGCGTGGGGTCTCCATGTTGGGTATTGTGTCCTCTAAAAAGAAGCATAGAAAGAAGATTAGTTTCTCCCTAGTGAAGCCCTGCTGAGGTGCAACACATGTTTCATGACAGTGTGTCAAATTACTTTCACAAAACAAAAGGCATCTCTGTAATCAGGTGTAGTCGTCAATAACAGACTTGTACAAGTCAGAAAAAGGTGAGATTTCTACGTTGTTAAAAGACCCACCCACAGATCCACCTTAACAGTCTCATACTGAGACTAATCAGTTTAAACTTGCTGAACTTTTAGAAAAAAACATTCCAGTGGACATCCTCGGGACACCAACAAGCAGTGTTTTAAAGGAAATTATGCAAAATACATCTATAGTCATGGTTTCACTCTCTGTATACATCACAACACTTCAATAAAGAGTTAGAACCAGCTGATACAAAATACATATGCAATACTGACAGAGCAGAAAACGTTTCTAAATTTGAAATAAGGTCGCATCAAGAGTTTAAGAGGCTTACCGATTGATTCGACTGTCATATTCTTCTCTGGAAACCTTGCCCACTTAAAGTAATTCTACAGTATTTTTCCCTATAGATATTATTGGAATTGCAATTGTTACAACAAACACGCAGTCGCTGTTTTTTGCAACACAATAAATGACCAAATGACATGCCAAAGTCACATCTTAGCCTAAAGCTGAAACTAGAGCATTCGTTACTTGTGCTAGTCCGAACGTTAAAGAAATGGTGTAAACAGAAAGAACACTGGACATGTTTCTCACCATATTCGTGAGCCGCTGCGTCTTCATCGGCTACTCTTCTTGTGTCCAAGATGAGTTTGATGTTGACGATCACAGTTATCAACAGAAACAGCACAGCGCCAGCCTGCGGGAGGAAGAGACATACACTTTAAAATCTGAAATGCGGGTTTCAAGGCCGGTAGGTTATTTGCCGTTACCAATCATGTCACACACCACTGTGGTAGAGTCAACAAGGAGTGTTTGTATGCATCTACAATGGCACGCTCTGTGATCTGAATGTTCAACTCTACTAACTGTGCACTCTCATCACAGAATGACAAAGCATTAACCTCTTCACCATTTCAACTGCCTGCTTGTTAACACTGCCAAATAGAGATGGCCAATAGATAGAAAGATTAAAGGGAACATGTGGTATGGTGAAAGATCAGATTTCGTTTGTGTAGGTATTTAAGAAATCAGGTTACAATAACGCAACACTCCCTTAAAAAAAACATGATGACTGAAAGCAGGTCGCAAGCAGCAATCCATATTGCAACTTGTACTTTGAAAAGACAAAGCAACATTTCCTGAGAAGAGTTTCCATTATACCTTTACTCACCTGTCTACCACAAATACATATATATAACTTTATTATATTTAAGTTATATTTTATCCCTTTATTATAACTATTGTATATCTTAGATTGTAATTTTTTTCTTGCTTAATTATCTTTTCCTACATATTTTTCGAGCGTCGTTGGAGGGAGCTTGAGATTCAAGATTGCATTCTCAACTACTTCTTCTCTGTGGCTGTTTTGTACATGATAAAGACCAACATGTTGGATAGATGAATTACTGAAAGAGTGGACTAACATGGTCACGTGAATCCAAAACCACACTGGAGAGAATAACAAAAACAGTTTTGTAAAAGCAAAGTTTTGTAAACTTAAGTGTCCCTTTTTTTTTAATGAAGCGCTGGCTGTGCAGTCTTATCAATGGGATTTTGTCTGTGGTGCTGCTGGTGCTGCTGCTGCTGCTGCTGCTGAAATACACATCAACTCCAGCTTTCAGCAGAGCTCCACCGTCAGAGACAGTCGTGTTTCACGTAACGTTACCTGACAGAACCGACGAATCGTCCTCTTGTTGGTTAGCTTGTATTTCCAGGTGAGGTACAAGCTTCTTTGTTGGCGAGGGATGAAAGGCTTGGCTCTGGGATTGGGGGTCCAGGTCTCCATCCCGGGACACCGACAGCCGCCGACAACAGAGCTCAGACCCTCCGCCTGGCCTCCTCCACCTCCTGCTCCAGGGGCATACACTGCTCCACAACACCACCGAGACACGACTGGTTGTCACATCGTCATCTGAAAAACACGAATATAGCACGACACGGGTCAGAAACGAAGTTAGCAAAGCACGAAGTTCAGCTAACGACAGCTAGCTGACTATTTCTACACCAGCAAATTAAGTAGGTACTTCTAGCTCACTAGCTCAGTTTCGCACACTCCAGTCGTCTCTTTTCTGCTGAGATATTAACGTTACTACTCACAGGGTCGTCAGTAAATCCAGCATTATCGTTTCAATCTCGTAGCCTGCAGCAAGATCCAGAAAAGTCGCTTGTAGCTGCCGCGACATGCACGGTGTTTACGTCGCAGAGCAAACGACGTCACCAAGCTTCTTCTTCTCCTTTTAAAAATCATCCCCCTTCTTTTCTTCTGTGACTCTCTCTGCACTATAAACAAACAGGCTCATTACTACCCTCAACAGGACGAATAATGAATGACATTAGTCTCCATTCATTTTTTTAAGACGTAGCTCCAGCGACTCTCATGAATTATTTATATTTATTAATATTTATGAAAGGTAAATCTGGTTCCTTGGTGTTGTTTAACAACACTTGGAGTACAACACAGTTTTTATGGTGTTTCCAATGCCCTCAATTCACCCTGGTTTCAAATAATTCAACTTAAATGAATGTGAAATAATGTGAAAGTAATGTGAAAGTAAAAAAAACAAAATCATCAAATTTGTAGATTGCTTGTTTTTTACAAAGAGAAATGCTATGCCAGCAGTGGACAGCATCTAATCAGGAAATAAACTAAGACGTGACACTGTGGGTTACTCATGTAACCACCCTGGTAATGAAGTGTGGCGTCCCCATAAGTGCAGCTAATTGAACTGTGGAGATTACAGCAGCCGCTGCTCCTCTGTGAAAAAGCCAAAAGTGGAGCTAGCTCTAATTAATTTATCTATTGCTGGTAAGTGATCCATAATGATATATCATAATATATAGTTAATAATTTACATTTTGTCTTAATAATCTGAATATGCAAAGTAACTAGTAACTGATGTTGTCAAATAAATGTAGTGGAATAAAAAGTAGCATACACACTGGGTCGTAAAAGGTTTATGTCAACGTCTTACCGAGCTACATTATTTTCTCCCCAATTAATTTATATTATCTTCTTATTCCTGTTTCCATGAGTGATTATGGAAAACAAATGATTCGTAGTGTCACTGAATATCCTATTCTATGCCTCATAAAGTAGATCGGGTCAGTCAGTACTTAAGAATACACGGATACAGTGTGAATCATCTATTTTATTTTAAAAGGGACCATAATTTACTAAATGAACATCATGCTGTATTGAAGAAGACTTTAAACTAGAGATTGAGACCATAAATTCATGTTTACAATGTTTACTGAGGTAATACTGTAAATCAAGTGAGAAGTAGAGTAATTTTCTCATAGACTTCTATACAATCTGACTTCTTTTTGAAACCAGAGGAGTCGCCCCCTTCTGGTCATTTGAAAGAATGCAAGTTTAAGGCCCTTAGGCATTTGCTTCACTTTTCAGAATCAAACGTTGCAGCCTAGCTTAAATCAATATACATACAATAATTCATAAAATTAATCTGAAAACAATGTGAACAGAGTCTCATAGTTATGAACCTATGCAAGGAATCTTTGTAAAGAATCATTAATTACTCTGGATTTAGACACAATGTTGTTGTTAACATTACAAACATCAAACGCTCCCGCTTTTTTCCAGGCTTTATTGAAGGTTATTCAGAAACTCGTCAATTTCTCTGCACATTCGGTTTCTGTTTCTTTCTCTAATCCTCTCCAGAGTATTAATGCTGTTCTTACGATAGGAAGATTGTTGCGGTATCGCTGCGGCCCTCATGTGATATTCTATTGACTTGTAGCTCTCCTTTCGACTGAAATGTACATATTTTGCATAGTAGTTGTAAAGCATCTGTGCCCCTTCGGGATCCAGGTCAGGTCTTTCCAGCAGTTCCTCGTATATATGGTCCGCTTCAGCTTGGTTATTGGACTCTGCGTATATGTTGGCAAGAGATATTTCTATCGTAAGTGAAGAAAGAGGGTAAAGAGTAATCACTTCCCTGTGGAGACTGATTGCTCTGTCGATCATGCTGTGCTCCAGGGAATTGTTCCTCCCCTGGAAGATCCTCTTCTTGTAGCAGAGTGCGGCACATCTCTTCAGATAACGCTCATCTGGATGTCTTTCCAGAACCTCTTCTGCCAAATCAATGGCCTCATCCATGGATACATAGATTCTGTACAGCCTTAGTAATGGTGTGATACCACTGTAGCTGCTGATGGGCTTTCTTAAAACCCTCCTGGCCAACTCACGTGCTCCACTTTCAATGTTCTTCCCTTTCTCAGCACATGCCTCAAAGTACAGAGCAGCGAGGTACAAGTTCTCTGGATCATGTTCCTTGGCAATTTTCATTTTCTCAAAGATGTCAGCCCCCAGCTTTTTGTCACTGTGTCTAAGAGTATTCTCTAACCCTATGATGTGGCTGGTGTGCCACTCCACCATGTCCGGCTGCATCCTGATGGCTCTCTGGAAGTAATCTGCAGCCAGCTGCCTTTTGTCTGTGCCAAACTTCATCAGGGTCCAGGCTTTTTCAGCGTAGATCTCCGGATGAAGCTCGTCCTGGGATGGAGATGGGTACTCATTCATCATAGCGTCGACTTTTAACAAGTAAGCCTGACACTCTGCTCGTTCTCCCTTATGGTAATGCAGCCAAGCCAGGTTCCCGTGGTTCACCACCAACCAGGGGCCCTCATCTGAGATGGTGTTTCTCATCTGGCGGAAGGCCTCCGCAGCCCTGCAGAGGAAACGGCAGGCATCATCGGTGAACCCCAGCTGGTAGTGAATATACCCCTGTAGGTTGTAACTGTGACCCAACCAGCTGTATCCCTCCTCTGTGCCGATGTCCTCCAGCTGGTCCCTGAGACAAACAAGTGTAGTCTTGCTGGGGTGCAGATCCCAGGTGAAGTGGCACTGCAGGTCCTCCAGTTTGGACTCCAGTGTTGTTTGACTCCGAGCCGCACTGATGGGGATTAAAAATGACAAATGTTAAAACACTTGTGCAGTACAGTAAGATCATTTGCTCTGTGGTGTGCTATGTTTAGATAATCACAGTGATAATCCTCATGTTGAGGAAGGAAGGAAGGAACAATGAATGGACAGAAAGTAACGAATGTGTGAGGGAAGGAAAGAATGAAGAAACCAATATCAGAATAATAACAAGGAAAGGAGGGAAAGAAAGACAAAAAAAGGTAATGAGTGAAGGAAATAAGGTAGGAAATGAATCATTTAAGGAACAGATCAGGAAAGAAGTATCAGAGGGGAGAACAGCTAGGAGAAAACATCTGCCTCTTGGGACTACAGATGAAAAATAGCCTTTTGGCTAACTCTGGCGCATTTACAGAAATGTTTTTATTTGTGTGCACTGTCCCGTATCAAATAAACCAATAAATAAAAATGAAATAGTGAGAAAAGACAGAAAGACAAGTGAGTAAGGTTAGAAGTGAAGAAGGACTTAAAAGGTAAAAAGGAAGGACAAAACAGAGTAAGTCCCAATAAATGAATGAGAAGGAAAAAGGAAAATAAGGAGTGAATAAAGAAATAATGTATCATAAGACAGCAGGAAAATATCATAGAGGAAAAGACGATGGGTAGCACAGAAGGTGAGAAGGAAAACTAAGGAAAGAACTGAAAAAAGTCAGAAATAAAGAAGGAAGAAAAGAATTAAAGAAAGGGGGAAAGAAGAAATATGGACATAAAGGACAATAAAAACTGAAAAAAAGGTCTGAAAGGGATGAAAGTAGGAAGAAAGGTTAAGAGGAGAAAGACATGGAGCAAGAAACTGAAGAAATCAAAGGAATAAATGGTCTGAAGAAAGCAATCGAGGGAAAGAAGAGAATCGAGCGAAGGAGGAAAATAGAACGTATGGAGGGACAAAATCACACAAATGACTTTGGATCCATAATGTTTAACATATATTGACAATGCTACTGATGGCAGATTGACATGCAGAAGCAGACACTCACCTCATCATCCAGTAGTAGTTTGCTAAATATGAGTCTCTGGTGTCTGCTCTTTGCACTATGTACAGTGCTGCTTTAGGTGCGGCACCATAAAATGACAAATGTTCAACTTCTATGGCGTTGTAAATGATGTAATATTGAGCACTGGATTTGAACTCAGTGGACTTTCTTGTCCCAGTAATAGAAACCTACAGGCACATCTGTCGTACTGAACAAGCAGAACAACTCATGACTCATCAGAGCTCACATTATCATGTCTTTTCTCTCTTTTACTATAAATTCAAGTCTTGGCTATGAAGTCCAGATTCAAGACTGGCAAATTCCAAGTCAATTCCCTAAACTTTATTTTTTAAGTCTTTAACAAGGTGGGGGCAGCTGTGGCCCTTGTGCGACACACTGATCCCCAATGCTTGGATGCTTAGGGCGGGTTAAATGCAGTCAAAGTCAAATTTCCTGTTTGTAATTTCATGTATTCAAATATTAAAATTGAAATAAAGTTAAAGGTGTTTTTAAGTTTTTACACACCATTCAACAACTTCAATCCAGAAGGACAATTGCTTTAATACAATTACAGAAATATGGAAGCTGATCAGCTGTGTGTGTGTGTATTCTCTTTACACACAGTGCACAGTCAAATCCTTTGATCCAGACGAGATGGCTCGAAAACCCTTGCTCAATGTAGCCAAGAAAGAGCACAAAAATGAAAAACGTGTATTATCAGTTATCAAGCATTACCATGTCTATATTAAGGTTAATTGGATTATTTTACATTTTCATACCCAATCATGTTGTTGTTTTTTAATCCTCATTGTCTCAAATATGCATCACAACCAAACTTGTTAACATTTTGTAGGAATTGTGACACTAATAGGCAAACATACTTTAAGTTTATATCAAATGATCACGAGCATTAGAACGTCAAAGCAGTTGTAATTGATATTTTTATATTAATGTAATTAATTACAAATTTAAAAAAAAGTTCAACTGAATACAGGTTAAAACCACCCATGTCATTATTAGACGCTCAGAGAAAGTGCTCCGGGAGTGTGATGACATAGTATAAAGAACAAAAAACCTAAAGCAATTGTTTTTGTTTGAATTCTCAATGTAACCACGTGTTTACTGTGGCTGGGCTACCCTCTGTGTGACAAAGTATCACGTATTGCCTGCCAACAACTTCACTGTATCATAGCTCTTATAGCTTGGAATTGGAAAATAGTCACTATAAAATGTAGGATTATCTCCATTTACTGATCATTATTTTATTTTAAAAATGACCACATCTCTTATTTTATTCCCCTTTATTTTTTCTATTTACTATTTAGTTTGAGCTCAGAGGTCTAATTTTGCATTTGGAAATGTTCTATTGGAGGAAACTTCAAAACAAACAAAGTTATTGGTTCAAGGTTAAATAATTGATTGCAATAGGTGCAAAACAACACAAGTCCCGCCTCCTTAACTCAGGCTCGACAGTGACCTCCCTGATGGTGCAGTTTAGCCCCACATTGTTTATTTCTTTGCTTGTTCACTTGTTGATTTGATTTATTTATTATTTGTATAATTTATTTCATCTCTCTTTTATTATGACCTGCATTTAGGCCTTCTATTGAAACTCACTTGAGTGGAGACAAATCTTTTATTCCATGCATTGTCAATAAAATCTATATTTTTGGTTAATTTTTGGCTCCAGTTTATTCTGGGTCTTGTGCATTGAGTATCTCCGGGTCACACTCATAAATGCCTAAATGTGAACAAGGTTAGGGAGGGTCCTTCAAGAATATTCATAAATATTACCCTGCCAATCACTACAAGCAGAACAGCATTTTTTGAGATGAATATTCAGAAAATATTTTTGCATTTTTCTCTCACCAAGAAATTCTGGAAAGACCTTTGCAGATTTGTTACTGACCATATCTTTGAAGACTTAATATTATGGGGAAATGAGGCTCTCTAGATGCTTACCATCTCTATGTTTTTTATGTTTATAATTTTGACAAATATGATATACCCCTGGCTCTTTAATTATTTTTTTATTTGTATACTATCCCCTGTATACTAAATCTGTGTTCTTTTGTTCAATAGAAAACAATTAAGCAGAGATTAGTAGCCAATTAGTGTGAAATAACATGACCCTGGGTTGGTTTTCTTCTTCTTCTCCCTAACTTTTTGAGTCACCAGCTGGCACAGATATGTAAACCTATCGCTAAGCAAATGACAAACTGAACTGAGCACTGACCACAATGGAGCACGTCGTCTCGTGTCGCTAGGAGGAGAGCTTGTTATCTGTTAGCAGCCGGTGAACAGCAGAGTCCTGCCATGTGTTTGGCTAACAGCTAACAGGGCTAATACAGTTAGAGCTAACAGCTAATGGGGCAATTTCAGGAATTTCTCAGAGAAGTTGGCTGCGGACAGGAACTCTCCTGAGAGCCACTGCCTGATCGTCTAACTTGCAAAGATTTCTGAAAGTCCGATTTACTGACAATTATTTGGAGGTCTATTTGTATTTCCATAATATAGCATGACCATCCCATCCATCTGTGACAAATAACAATGGATAACAAAAAGCATACATTAGACAAAGACCTCATGTACCTTAAGAAGCAGTAAGCTGACACTAAAGAAGATAAATAACCACATATTTCAAAGATTAATCTATTTGTGCTTACTTCTATCTTTATATATTTTTTATAAGAAAGCAATATAATGTATCAATATCATAATTCAACTGACTTGTTTTGCTTTGGCTTGTGAAAGCACCTGAATAAGATTACAATAAGATCAAATGCAACAAACTAAATTAAACAGTAAAATGAAAATGACAGTGCTGCTACAGTGCAGTGCAAGATATGAATAAATAGCTCTAAACCCAACTTGCAATATAAAACAGTACAGTCACCTCAATGAATTGTCATTGAACGTTTGGCTGCCCGTTCCACAACATTCCAGATGATGAAAAATTAAAGGACTTAACACAGTATGTCAGACTATTTCATCCATGTTAAAACTATTTCTATCACAGTGACACCATCACTGGTTTGTTGTCAAGGAAATCTTTATCTTGTTTTCCTTTCGTTATGAGTTCACTGACACATGACACAAAACAACAAAACAATTATCACTACTACATTTATATGACCACAATAGTGACTCTTTACTTAATCTCCAACAAATTCAGCCAATAAATAGATAAAGATGTTAAAGTTAGCTCCACCTCAATCAGTTACAACTACAGAGCACTGTGAGAGAGGAAGTACTTTTACTTTTGATTGTTGTAGTACTCATTTTAATTCAGCAAAGTATCTGAAAATTTATTTCAGAAAATTGCTAACTGACAACAAAGGAAGCTGTGTCATAATATATTTTTCATCTACAGTGACAAATGGGTCAAGTACTTCTCCAACCTCTGGTATCTACAAACCTGTGTGCAGTTGTTGCAAGCCTGGCCTACCTTTCATACAAAATGTTGGTAACATAAGCAGTGCACAGTCCTGTACGTTTGTGTAGCCTGCTCTTTCCAGGTTGCATGCTGGAGAGGAAGTTGTGTGGCTCGGGCTCCAGTTGCTTGACATCTTGGATCCATCTTTTTCACTTAAGTTCACATTCTATGTATCATTTTGTCTTATGGTTATCTATACTGTAATTTTATTATGTGGGTCTATTCAGTACATATGACATCTATTGCTTGTTTGTCCATCCGGAGAGAGAGATCCCTCCTCAGTTGTTCTTCCTGAGTATTTTAACCATCTTTTAATTTGTTCCCTATCGGGAGGGTCTGAGGTTAGAGGGAGCCGTATGGCTCTACAGATCATAAAGCCCCCTTAGATAAATTTGTGATTTGTGATATTGCACTATATACTGTAAATACAATTTACTTGATTTGAAATTAAACACAGCCTACTTTGCCTTTCCTTTGCTAATACACTGTGAGGTGTCCGGACACAGAAAATAGAGGAGTTAGAAATGAACAAGGCAGACAAGGCCCAACCCACTTGATGAATCAGGTAACGTGATTTTCAATGTTCTATTATTGAAGTAAAATTAGACAGAGTCAGTGGCATCAATTCAACAAGAGCAGGTGTGTCAATGTCGTCATAGAACATCAACAACACCGCACTGCCAACAAAAACAAGAAAGTGCATTCAGTAGAGTGCAGATCTCCACTGCTGCTCTAACATCAACGACTGCAGCCCCATCATCAACAACTGCTTCCCAAACAACTGCTGCTCTAACATCAACAACTGCAGCCCCGACGACAACTGCAGCCCAAACAACAACTGTCACCCAAACAACAGCTGCGGCCCAAAAGACATCAACTGCAGCCCAACGACAACTGCAGCCCCAACAACAACAGCTGCTCCAACATCAACAACTGCCGCCCCATCATCAACAACTGCAGCTCCAACAACAACCGCAATAGCGGTGACAACTGTTGCGCCGACGACAACAACCATTTCTCCACAGACAACTGCAGCCCAAACAACAACTGCTGCTCTAACATCAACAACTGCAGCCCCAGCAACAACAGCTGCCCATACAACAACTGCTGCTCTAACGTCAACGACTGCAGCCCAAACAACAGCTGCCCAAACAACAACTGCTGCTCTAACATCAACGACTGCAGCCCCAACAACAACAGCTGCCCAAACAACAACTGCTGCTCAACAACAGCTGCCCAAACAACAACTGGTGCTCTAACATCAATGACTGCAGCCCCAACAACAACAGCTGCCCAAAAAACAACTGCTGCTCTAACATCAACAACTGCAGCCCCGACGACAACTGCAGCCACAACAACAACTGCCCGCCAAACAACAACTGCGGCCCAAAAGACATCAACTGCAGCCCCAACAACAACTGCAGCCCCAACAACAGCTGCCCAAACAACAACTGCTGCTCTAACATCAACAACTGCAGCCCCGACGACAACTGCTGCTCTAACATCAACAACTGCAGCCACAACAACTGCCCCCCAAACAACAACTGCTGCCCAAAAGACATCAACTGCAGCCCGAACAACTGCAGCCCAAACAACAACTGCTGCTCTAACATCAACAACTGCAGCCCCAACAACAGCTGACCAAACAACAACTGCTGCTCTAACATCAACAACTGCAGCCCAGACAACAACTGCTGCTCTAACATCAACAACTGCAGCTCCAACCTCAACTGCTGCCCAAACAACAACTGCTGTTCTAACATCAACGACTGCAGCCCCAACCTCAACTGCAGCCCCAACAACAACTGCTGCCCAAACAACTGCTGCCCTAACATCAACAACTGCCACCCCAACAACAACTGCTGCCCAAATGACAACAACTGCAACCCCAACGAGAACTGCATCCCCAACAACAACTGGTGCCCCAACCTCAATAACTGCCATCCAAACAACAACTGCCCTCCTGAAGACAACTGCTGCCCTGCGGACGTCAACCACCGCCCTAATGACAACAAGCACTGCAACAACAACGATAACCGCCGCACCGGCGACAACAGTTGCTGTTACGACAACAACAATTGCACCTCCGGCTACTGCATTTGATGCCATGGCGGCTAAACCCACATCTGGCCCAACAACATCTACAACAGCCACCGCTGCAGCAACCCAATCAGCCACAACTTCCAACAATGACGCCTGCTGTTTCAGACTGAGTATGATCCATCTGCTGCTCGGACTTATTATCTTTGCTGTCTGTTAGAACAAGGGGGCTTCGACAAAGCACCTATGAAGCTACCAGAAGGACTCTGAAACAGGATTATTATCGTAAACTAAAACATAAAATTAAATGAAAATAGGAAATAAACACAAAATAAAAACGATAACCTGTCAGAAAACTAAAACTAAGCTGAAACATTACCTGGTTAAAAAAAAATTTGAAGAAAAATAAATTAACAGAAATTAATTTGAGTTTTAGTGTTTCAGCTATAATATATCACTCCCTAAAAAGGTGACTAAAAAAGAGAAAAGGAGATTAAAGAACAAGAACATGATTTAAATATTGAATTAGATCAAATGCTATCCATCCAAGCTATTCATCTCAGGGTAATTGTTAGAGTCAGAATAAAATTGAAGGTGACAGGCTTTCTTGTGAGTGTGATTGTGAAAGAGTACTTAATTTGATTCCCAGATCACAAGATTAAAACATAATGTCCATTCCAACACAGTTCTTCCATCATTTATTTTGTTTGTGAATGTAGCTCTATCTGAGACATCATCTCTGGCACAAAAACATCAAAAGATTCTGTAAAAATAAATAAATAAAAACTAAAGCTAAAGCTCGCATGAACACTCTGAAAACTAACGATTACTAAAATTAAATCTGAAATTCAAAACTAAAATATAAATTAAAAAACAATTGAAAATCGCACTATACTCTCTTTGTTTTGTTTTTTGCACTTTTGCATACATATTTCAATATAATATGCATTGGTATTGCAGTGGTTTGATGTAATGTTACTATGGTCTGGTATATATTAAAACCTGTTTAATAAAGCTTTTCTGATGTATGAGAACAGTGTATAGCTTCTGTGGTGTGGGGAAAATAATTATTCTATATGAATTGCATATAGTTAATGAATTGCAACAGCCGGAAGGAAAAGTAACATCATGCTGGGGAGCAGCAGCTTATTCGATTTTTTTTAATTGTTGAGATGAAGCAGAGTGTAGTAAATTACTTTGTAGTAATTTTGTGTGAATTAGTATGTAAATATGTGCAAAATGGAAAATGTAAACACAGTTTTGGTGGTGGTTGAGTCATGTCACTGCCATCGAATGTATTTTGTGTCAAAGTAATTAAAAGTTATCCATGAATGGTATTAAATACAGCTTCCCCTGTTTTCACTGTGATAATTAACCATGGCATTAGGATAATGATGATAATATGGCTGCCCGAAAACCCGTATATAATGGGACTGATGGTATGGCTTTTATGAGGCAGGTGAGTGCGAGGCAGCATGGAAAGGGCCTAAATGCCGACAATCCAGGCGGACAAGAACAGCTCAATGATTTGTTGAAAAAAATGAGGCTAGGCTTACTGGCATAAGGAGCAAGTAAGAAGAGAAGTGAAAGAAAATCCACAGGTGAATGTGAATGGCAGGTGACTACAACAGGTGGAAAAGTCAAAGAGCATCTGGTGGACAGTTATGGAATGGCAATGACTGCAAGGTGTTAAAGAAATGTAAGGGCGTGGGGAAGTGGGAACAGCAGAATGGAATGGGAGAGAAGCAGAGGTAGTGACAATGTTGAACCCGTCATACTGTCTTACTTGTTGAATCATTATTGTGTTCATAATAGGACAACTATTGTTTAGTGGTGGTATGTAGGAGTGGCAATTCAGCAAAAGCAGGTGTGGCAATGTTCTCACGGTCCTGGAGCAACTGTACAATTTGAAGAAAACTAACTGGATATCGAATCAAGATTTTGTTTTTCAACTTTTCATGCGATTTGAGATGATATCTTAAACATGAGTATAAAAGACATGTAGAATGTAAAATGTTTTTTTTTTTAATACCAAAAATGCCTTATTAATTAAGTGTTTAAAGCTTGGGTAAACAATGAAAGCAACAAGCAGCAATATCTCAAAAAGTCGCTAAAATTAGGCCTCCCACTCTCTCTCACAAACATAGCTATTGTCAGTACTGAAAGCTGTGAAGCTATAGCACCTTGTGGTAGGCTCCGTGATGCGCAATGAGTGCAAGACAAGTATGCAATCCAATCCTTTCACAGGCTTATTGCAGTCCTGTGACAGCCACAGATACCAGATTTTTGGGGATGTAATGAGAATTTCAGCAAATATAACAAAAAATGTTTCTAAAATAAACCCACCCTACTCATCATTGACTTTAATTATAATACATTGTTTTACACATTATAAGTTTTAAGCAAATATAAAGATATTTTAAGTGTTTAATAATGCGTAGTATATAATCAACAATTCTAACTTCTCTGATGAAGAGTTATTATACATTATTACAACTGCGTTACATGTCATTCATTTTCTGTTTATATACCAGCATCCAATTCTGAAAGCTTCACAGGAGGAGTTCAAGTTATTTAAAACTACACCTATACAAACTGAAAAGACCTTCAACTACATTATAGTCTGCTATAAGACCTTATCTTTACTGTAAATAAGGTGATTCAGCAAAAAAATCAAAATAACAGAACTTGGTTGAAAATGTCATGTCGTCTTCACTGCACCCAATGTCGTGAAATCACAAAGAAATAGTTGTTTTATATCAGTTAAAGTTTTTGTGCTGAAAATGTCTAGTGAATAAAACAAGATTACAAAAACTTAGTAGCCAGGTATACCTCTCTCTCATCACAGTAAAAGTTTATTCAACAAATCAGACTGAATAAAACATTAAAACACATAATCCACGTGACAAACAAATAGGAAAACAGGAGCTCTTTGGCTCAAAGCTGCAGCTTCAAATGACATCCACCTGATATAAAACTTGATATTGAAATCAGTGCTTTCAGGAAGCAAGGAAAACTTGCTTTTGCTATGTGACTGGGTAATGGTTGAGTCTGACAAATTCTGATTGTACAAGCAAAATGAATGTGTTCAGTTTATCTCTTTAAATCCAAACACCAAAGTGTCGTTTAACAGGTTAAAGCTCTTCTTTCTTCTTTAGGATTATCTGCCGCACCATTTCAGCTATCTTGGGTCTGATTTCTTTGACAGAAACTTTTGGTCCCCATGCATCCAACACGTTGCCATTTACATCAACAAGATACTTCCAGAAATTCCAGTCAGGCTCATTTCCAGAAGACTCTGCAGAGAATGAAGGAAGGAAAACGAGTTAATATGTATCAGTTATTGCCATCTTCCTTTGTTCCTTTATTTCATTGCTGCCCTCTTTTATTTATTCTGCCCTACATGTTTACCTTTATTTTAATGTCTTCCTTTCCTTCTCCTCTGTTCACATGATTTCAGTATCGTATATGCTTACTGTACTGTCCATGTTTTGTTATTTGTGTCATTTGTCATTTCTGAATATCTAACATTTGCCCTTTAATGGTGGGATCCTCCAGATTCCACTGTGTTAATTAGAAACCTGGTTGTCTCGGGCTCATTTGCTTAATAAAGAAAACATCTTCAAATGATGCAAGAACAAACTCACACCAACACCATCACATCTCACTCACCAACAAGGTACTTGTAGACATTGTTGGCTCCGGTTCCGACGACAGCGATTTTACTGAACAGGGGGAAGGAGACTCCGTAAACTCTGCCAACAAAACTGTCGATCTCCTTGTCGCTGCCGGGCTCCTGCTGACCAAACTGGTTGCAGGGGAAGGCCAGCACATTGAAGTGATACGGCCCAAAGTCCCGCTGGAGCTGCTGCAGGTTTTCGTAGTGCTCTTCAGTGAAGCCACATTCACTGGCTACATTCACCACCAGGGACACCTAAAGCCAAAGGAACACACTGTGAAGACACTACAGTAACAGTCCTGACAGTCACAAAACAACAATTAACAGCAACTGAGGTATTGTAAACAGCTGTTCACGTACCTGATTGAGCGCAGATGTACTGAACATGCTCTGTGCACATCATCTGTTAGTTTTGTTAGCTTGTGTTCATCTCAGAAAGGACTATATGTGAAAGGAAGGAGAAAAAGTGTTTTCTAGTTTCATACCAGGGTTGATCTTAGTTTAACAATAAGTACACAATAAATGGAGCTTGGAAAGATCATTTTATTTTTATTTTTCTGACTATGAGGAATATTTACTACATGACATACTATTCATCCACGATATATTTACAGAGCAAAAAAGTTTTTTGCTTCTATATTAATGCTCTGAATATCAAATTTAGCAGCTTTAACACAAGCCAAAAGGAAACTCTAACCTCTGAACCCTTTATTTTATTTATTGGTTTATTTGATAAGGGACAGTGCACATTAATAAAAACATTTCTGTAAATGCACCAGAGTTAGCCAAACGGCTATTTTTCATCTGTAGTGCCAAGAGGCAGATGTTACAAAATAAACCTAAAAACAGAATATAAGATTGGATTGAAAAGGTTATACAATATTGACGCTTTACAATGCATGCACAAACAATGACAAAAAGTGAGAATATTAATATACGTAGTATCATCACTCAGGAGACTCATACATTGTCAAGTACTAACAAGACATGCAACACAGAGGCTCTCAAATTCAACACACACAAAGGAAATAAAATAAGGGATAACTATGTTAAATAGAAACATGCACTAAAGACAATATTATGCTGCACTTGTTAGACACTAAAAACATCCATGTCAGAGGCACAAAACATAAAAGCATGCAGAGTATGTGAAATACATAAATCAGTCAGACACAGCTAAACAACAATAAAAGACATGCATGCAGGTAGATGAGGGTCGACCGGCAATTTCAAGACAGACAGACAGGTGACAACAGACAGATCGAGGGAAAGTTCAACACAGACAGAGGTGCAGTTACATTCTAGTGCTGACAGAGTTGGGTACTAACTAACCATTTCTTTAATTGAGCTTTAAATGAACTGTATGTTTGTAGTTCTCTAATGGTCAGTGGGATGGAGTTCCATTGTAGTGCAGCTTGTACTGAAAATGCAGACTGACTGAGAGCACTTTTCCTGAGTGGGATAATGCAATCCCCTCTTGCTGTGCCTCTTGTGAGCCGATATCCAGTTGTTCTTGTGCTAATGTCATGGCTGTTTCACCTCAGGGTGTGGTTGTTTTGTTGCACAATTAACCGCACCCTACAGTGATGTCACGGTGTACTGGCACACCCAGGCTGACAACCCTGCAGCATAGTGAGTAGTTTAGCAAAGCAGTGGAAAGTAAATACATTTACTCAAGTACTGTACTTAAGAACAATTCTTAGGTACCTTTAACTTACTCGAATATTTCTTCACTTCACTACATCTGTCACAACCTGGCTCAAAAGGCCGCAACATGAGGGAGACAAGACGAGTTAAAAGTAATAAATAGACATTTATTTAAAGTACAAACTAACAGACCTAAACTAAACTAAACAAACAAACAAATAAACAGCCAGGTTCTCCGCACAGGAGACAGCGAGGAGATGCACAGCGAGGAGATGCACAGCGAGGCACCCCAGCCAAAGAAGAGGGGCAGCCTTTATAGCTGGGACCAACCCAACTCAGGCGTCACCCATCAGTGGCCGATTAACATCCTGGAAGACAACCTGAGAGGAAACAGACACAGACCCCTGGTGGAAGGGAGGGGTCGTCACACATCTCATACGGAAATATTGTACTTTTACGCCAGTGCATTTACCTGACAGCTGCAGTTGTTGATTACTTTGAAGTGAAAAGATTCTATATCAAAGCAAATATGATTCGCTTACAAAATGCATGT